AAATTTAATTAATAATGGATCAAGAATTACGACTGTTACTGTATGTCTATTAAAATTCTGAACGATCGTACTAGACCGGTCTGCCTTTTTATACAATAAAAATGACTGGTCAGCGATAAACAAATATTCGTTTGTAAAAGGTATTACTTTTCTTGATACATTGTATGCGAATAGAACATTTCTTTGTTAACTGAATTATTTACTGACGAAGATCCTGGCTAGGCGATGGGTTAGGATCGTGGGATCACGGCTGGATGATGTTTTGCTGAGGTTGCATAGACAAGGCGTCTTTGTTGCAACAATGTTGTAGATTGGTTGCGTAGTGGCCTATTTAGAGGTGACCTTCGTTGTGGATCCGATATAACATATATATTCCCAGAAATACCAATAATATCAATTTTGAATGTCCAAACCAAAACACAACAGGAGCTATAAATCAACCTTCTTTGATTTTCTCAGCTGAATGTACTGTAAAAATCAAAAACAAAATTTATGATTTTCAATAACCAGATACATTCAGATTAAGACTAAAACTTCCAAAACTTGTCATAAATAAAAAGTTAATAGAGAAAATTAAACCACTTCAAATCACTGAGATTGATTTCCAACATATCCATAATGATTTAGAAGATGCAAGGAATTTAATTACGCTTCCCTTAAAAACATTGAGTATTACTCATGGAACCATCTCTTTGATATTAATTGTAACAATAATTATAATAATCATCATAAGTATGACAATATATCATTATTGTTTTAAGAAAAGGCAAGATATAAAAGTGGACACAAATTTAAAAACCCTCACAAATAAATCCCTATTTTCTCAGTCTTAAGGAGGGAGGAATTATATGGCCACTTACGCCGACTAAACGATTAAAATAAGACGTAGTATCGTTTCTGCAATGATCAGCATGATTTAAGTTTAAAAGTAGCCACGGCAGAAACGATAGTTACAAAAGCAGAAACTGGCAGTATTCCAGAATAGAATACTGAGGATAGTGACAAAGGCCCCATCCTTCGAAATTCTTCGAATTCCCCAGAAATACCACCCTGCGAAGAGACCTGGATACAGAGGACCTGCTGGACCACATCCGGAACCTGACGTCAGGGTTCCTGCATAGGATCCGGCACAGCAAGAATCCCGCCGTCAGGGTTTCATGTTATTATGGCCCATGATAAATATTGGTTTGTACCTGAAACCGGACTGAAGCGTATTTTGAGTCTAGTCGGATTAGACTTTAAAAGGCCTGTTTCGGGCACTGAAAAT